GTCTCGGTGCATTAAGAGCGTTCTTTATATGAGAGGAAAATACTTAAACGCCTTGCGTTCACATTTTGATCTTATATGCATATCTGCACATACTATATGCTTTACAATTTTGTCTTTATCACTGCCTTGGTACATTAAGCCACTTTAAGCATTTTAGAAAGTCCCCTGTTCAAATTCTGCTAATTCACAAGCCTAGTTCATGCTCGCAAAGAAGGTAATGTTAACTATTAAACCAACCAAATCAAAACTTTCAAAAACACACAGCAATGTGATTCTTTTATTGAGTGAGAGTCAGTGGGTTTAATCAGTGACATTAACAGATTTACTATTCGCCGTCTTCTCCGCGACCTCCTTCCCTTGGTGTTTTTACACATAGAAAAGACGAAAAAACATATAGCATTGTCCATTTTTCTCTCAGAACGATGATCTGAGTTACTATTGCAATTATCGATGCAGTATGAATGACATACACACATTACTTACTAGCGGACTGAAGGGGTTTACGGACAAGAGCTTTGCTGTGAAAAAATTCTCAGATCAAGCTGGTGAAGATGACACCGGTTTCATTCCTCTAAGTGTCCAACTTTTGGAGCTCTAGGCATTATATAATTAAGAGTCGCTACGAAAAAAAAACCTGATTTCTGCCCGAAGGACGTCACCTGAATTCACAAATCATGGAGAATGATATTCGGTATTATTTGCATGTCTATGACAGCGCGCTGCGTATTTATAGCTAAAATAAATCTGAATATCAAACCGCAAACTATCTTTACTGCGGTGTGGATGCCTGCTTTTGGGGAACGCAGTCGTGCAAGACTGATAGGCAATTATACAGAAATACTTTGACGACAGAGTTTGCTCGGGCATTTAAGAATGGCCATAACAACATTTCAGATGCTGTGCAACAAGATCGGTCCGCTGGTTCGTCAGGCTATGCGTCCCATAGCGCAAAGTCACATGGCGACTTTTCATGTGCATGTGGGAATTTATTCGGCAAATGCGTTTCCATCTCCCATTATTTGCGTTAACCCTTTTTTGCACAAGTCAAAAACCACCTCAAACGAGAGTAAAAACTTTAATGCGAATTAAGGGATTTTTTTCTTCTTCAAAATTTGGCATTTCCATCATTCGTTTCTATTGC